TTGAACTACCCATGAATAACAATAAGTTTGTAATACTTTCCATTATAATTCTGGGCTGAGAATGATTAGTTCTGTGACTTGGTGGCACATTTTTTCTGTCTGAATCATTTTAACTTAAAAGTCTTAGGAGCTTGGTAATAATCCAAATTACAAATTTGTAGACCCCTTTCACCCTCGTCAGATTCAGGGGTAAATACACACACACACACACGCATGCACACACACCTCTTGATTCAAGGGTTAGTCATGACTGCTGTGCCAAAAATCCTTTATATATATATATAGGAATATAACTTGAAATCAAATAGAATTTGTACATTTAAATCACATAATAAACTTTCAAGTAGGATCAGTACAGTATAAGGCAGTTCCATCTCCTACCCAGATCCCCTGACCTTTCTCTAATAAATTGCATTTCATATATTTTGATCCATAGATTCATTCCAGATACATCATTCCATAGGAGGGAATCATACTCTACATATTTTTCTGTAAAAATATGTAAAAAATGTAAAAACTTTTTTTTTTTTTTTTTTTTTGAGGCAGAGTTTCGCTCTTCTTACCCAGGCTGGAGTGCAATGGCGCGATCTCGGCTCACCACAACCTCCGCCTCCTGGGTTCAGGCAATTCTCCTGACTCAGCCTCCCGAGTAGCTGGGATTACAGCCACGCGCCACCATGCCCAGCTAATTTTTTGTATTTTTAGTAGAGACGGGGTTTCACCATGTTGACCAGGATGGTCTCGATCTGTTGACCTCGTGATCCACCCGCCTCGGCCTCCCAAAGTGCTGGGATTACAGGTGTGAGCCACCGCGCCCAGCCCAAAAACATTTTATAACAAAAAAAAAATTCTTATATGTAGAATATTATGTATAGCATACTGATATAGTTTGGCTGTTTGTCCCGTTCAAATCTCAGATGAAGGTTGGATGTTGAAATGTGATTCCCAGTGTTGGAGGTGGGGCCTGGGGGAAGGAGATTGGATCATGGGGACTGCTTCCTCATGAATAACCTAGAACCATCCCCTTGGTGATAAGTGAGTTAGTTCTCCCTTAGTAAGTCCACACAAAGTCTGGTTGTTTAAAAGAGTATGGGACCTTTCCGCTCCCTCTCTTGTTCCCTCTCTCATCAAGAGAGATGTCAGTTCCTCTTCTTTTTTGTCATGATTGTAGACTTCCCGAGACTCTGCCAGAAAGATGCTGGAGGCATATACAGCCTGCAGAACCATGAGCCCACTAAACCTCTTTCCTTTATAAAGTATCCAGCCTCAGGTATTTCTTTATACTAAAACAAGAAAGGTATATCATATATACATATACTATTTAAATAAATCAACTCCTGTATGACTAGACCCAAGATTTTCCATCATGTTCTTCTCTGATTGACTCATATGGACATCCTCAGAAGTAAACCATTACCCTAAGCTTGTACTAATTATTTCTTTGTTTTACTTTATGACTTTACTGCATATGGTCTCTGGGCAAACTATTACTTTATTTTTCTGTTTTCATTTATACTTTAATGAAAGTGGAATTATCTTGAATCTATTCTTTGAAGACTTGCTTCTTCCATTCAGCATTATGTTCTTGAGATAAATCATTGTTAATGGGTATAGCTGTGGTTCTTTCCTTTCACTATTACAGTGTTCCATTGTATGAATATAACACAATGTATTTATCCTTTCTCCTGCTGAGGAACATCTGGATTGCTTCCACAGTTTTGCTATTACAAACAATGAAGCTATGAACATGTTGTTAACGTATCTCCTGGTACACATATATCCATGTTTAAAAAAAAAAAAAAAAGGATTTATGAGTGGTATTTCAGGATCCTAGCAATTCAAAGTGCTTATGCCAATTTACACTTCCACCAACAGTGTATGACGCTTCCATTGCATATATTTTCTAATACTGTGTATTATTGTCAAACTTTTTAATTTTTGCTAGTCTACTGAGTGCAAGGTAGTATCTCATTGTGGTTTTAATTTGCATTTTTCTTATTTTGAGTCACAGTGAATTTGTAAGCTAAATAAATTAAAATTTTCCTCTGAAACATTTGTTTCTGATTGAATGGCAGTGACTTAATGTTGCAGGGTTATAGTTAAGTCCCTTTTTGCTTATACCTATTTAAGAGAAGGATTAACTTTCTCTCTTTGGTTGGTGGTGCAAGGAAAGGAAAAAATACGTTTTATTGCTTTTAAAATATTATGAATAACATTTCTCATTATGAACAAGAACACAGATAAGAAATGTCTTGAATCATGGCCCTAACTTTCTATTTATTTTTACTCAAAAACTACATCAAATATCTATCAAAATCTCCTTTGAAATCTAAAGAGAGGAGGAAAGTAAATAATTCCATTCAGGAATATATATATATATATATATGCTCTATTTTTAAAAATTGACTGTACATTTACAATAATTTTGAAACTTACAAATAGCCTGAGAGTGATTGTGTCTACCTGTTGTAAAAAATCATTTCCTACACATCAAAATGTCATAGAAAACATTGAAGTTTGTGTTTTTTCACATAATTCCTCATTTTTGCATTCACTTGATTGACTTTATAGCCAATAGCTGAATATAACCAGTATATTTCTTCAAGGTACTGATTTTCTCATCATAAATATACTTAGGTTTATATATTTTTTCTTCAGCTAAGTTGTTATACTTCACCATGGCAGCATTATATCAAGAAAGTCTAGGTATTATCCCTATTTGCTGTATTTCTTTTCTGTGTTTTCCCAATTTCGTTGATTAGGATTCTATTCTCCAATCACCTCAGCCAGTTTTGCTACTTAGCTCTTTGTTTTGAGTTTTCTCTAGGTATTTTTATCATTTACATTGGGGCTTGAGAATGTTTTCTTTGTGTCCTTTCTTCTTGAATATTAATCTATTTTAGTACATAATTTGATACTACAGATATCTGGTATTTTTAAGAAGACTAAGTACATGTTGACACATACATTGTAACTGTATTAATATATGCAACATACTTACTAACCAAAATCAACTCATCAATAAATTTTCTGATAGCCAGAAGTGACTGTTTACATGTCCCTAACCCTAAAAAGCTGGAAACATTCTTTCATAGCATTTTAGGCTAGGATGAAAAAAGTACCATGCAGGAAAAAAAAATGCTTCTCAGTTTTTTCTACTTCTAGTGGTATTTTCTAGCAAGTTGGGAAAAAACTCAAAACAAACTTCAACTTTGAACCTGCGAATTCCATATGTATGCCAAGAAAGGCTGAGACTAACAAGAACTTTTATTTTTTTTCCAAAATAGCTTTCAGAAAATTCAGATTCTAAATATAGTCAGGTGTCGCACAAGGATCGGGATATGCTCTAAGAAATGTGTCATTAAGCAAGGTTGTCATCACTTGAACATCACAGAGTATACTTACAGAAACCTAGGTGGGATAGCATACTACACACCTAGGTTGCATGGTGAAGCCTATTGCTAGTAGACTGCAAACCTCTACAGCATGTTACTGTACTAAATACTGTAGGCAGCTGTAACACACTGGTAACTATTTGTGTATTTAAACACATTGAAACATAGAAAGTACAGTAAAAATACAGTATTAAAATCTTATGGTACCACAGTCATATACGTGGACCATCTTTGACTGAAACATCTTTCTGTAGTGTATGACGGTATATGCAGGGTGTTTTGCTAATGTGAAAATATACATCTGATTAATATGACCACATCATGATTCTAGTTATAACATGTATTAGGCAATTTTTAGTGATATAAACATATGAAGGTGTAAAAATTCACAAGGTAATTTTTTGAAATAATTAGAAGCAGTTTTTTGTTTACAAAATATTCTAATGCAGAGATTACTTTTAATAAGCTTTCTAAGTACTTCTGAGGGTTTACATAAACAATTCTATTGACTTTAAAAAAATTATTGGCAGTTACTCAGATTATTGTTAGATATAGTAGAAATTTGATGCTGCATAAGTTCAAAGTCACTAAAAGCATTTCAAATGGCAATATGAGTTAATTGAGATAAATAATTCACAAACTATAATTCTGACATTTTTCAAGTTCTTAAAATTCAAAAGCATGTAAGCACAAAGCAAGGTAAACTAGCTATATATTGCTTTCAACATTAGTTTGAGCCTGAAAGGACATACGTAAACTACATTTATGTAACTTCAATCTTTGTTTGACAGGGAATGAATTTAACTGATTAGTAACATCCTGTGTTTATGCAGAATTAAAACTTATTACTGACAAGATCTGGCCTTTGGTTCCCTCTTTGAGCAAGATCTTGCATGCTCTTTGCTGTCATTCACTGCACTTTAACCATATTGACTTTCTTTCTATACTTTGAACTAGCTAAGTTATTCCTGCCTCAAAACCATTGACTCAGTCATCCTTTCTTCTAGAAATGACCATTCTCCCGAACATTCTATGGTGTGCTCCCTACTTCAGGTTACTGCTTTTCAGAGATGCTTTTTATGACTATTCTATCTAATCTGCCACCATCATACATTTCTCCATATCTTCCCTTAGCCTGTTTTATTTTCCTTCATAGCATTTATCAACATTGGACATTTTAAAATGTATTTGTTTTTGTTTGTTTGTTTTCTCCTTATAATATAAGCTCCATGAGAGCAGGAACTGCCATATTCCCAGCTCCTAGACCAGAGCAATGCATACATAGATTACACATCTTCCTAAGGCTAAAACCTTAAACAACAGGCACTATCTGCCTCCATGTTTGTGCCCCTTGAAGTTCCCAATCTTAGGACATATGATGCCAAGAACAAAGTTACTGATTACTTTCAGGTTAGCATGGTGACAACCTGAATATAGTTGACATGTCTCCTCTCAACTTTCCTTTCAAATATATCATTTGAAATATATATGTTTATGATTTTAACAAATAAACACGCTAGTATTTAACTTTAAATTAATTCTGAGAAATCTCCCTATCCACTAATACTATCACCAAATTCACAGAAATGTTCTCTTGTCATCTAGGGTCCTACGATGATACACCTACCACTTGTGCTACCACCTGTCAAAACTTTGGATGGCTCTACTTTCAGGTATTGCATATATTACAAAAGAACTTTCATGAACTACTGAAAGTAACATGTTGCATTTCCAGTAAAGCTGAGGAGAAGAGCATGTTAACAACAGTAAGAAATATTTCATAGAAAGGTATATAGTTAACTTTAGAATAAAAGAAAATCTTGAAAGGCAACCCAACAGAATACTGATAAAGATGGAATTATGAACATTTGTCAAACTTAAAAATGATTTCCTTGGGACCTTGGCAGTGGACTTAGTCACCATATTGTTGTTCCCTTGGCCAGACTACTGGGAGGGTTAAATTAATTTGAATGCATCCTATTAGATTGATTAGTATTAGTTATTTTATGAAATTAGCCATAGTCATCATATATTATATGTATATATGTACAACATATAAAACATACTAGAACAATAATTATATGCATATAAACCAAAATATATGTTGAACATTATAAAATAGTAGGACAAAATCGCTCATTTGAACTAAATTCCTTTTCTCTATAGAGTTCTTTATTTTCTATTTATATTGTCACTGTTACATTCATATGAATGGATGTAAAACTTTCTCATTGTTGGAGCATAAGATGATACCTTATTTATAAACAAAAGAAAAAACTTTAAATGACTCTAAATATTTTTGGAACTCCCTGGCAATATTGGGAGTTTCATTTTCAATCCTGGGCATTAACTACAGGCTTTGGGGGCTTTGGTGTTTCAGATGAATTTGTCTTGTTATTTGTGTTTGCCATTATAGTACCATAAAACATTAATTATGCAATTACACCTCATATCCCCTTTTCCTATGAAATTAAATGTTCTGCCTAACTTGTTTTAGACTGCGAAAGTTTAGCAATTCAATAATGTGTCATCCCAATAAGTGATAATAACATAAATTAAAGCTAAAGACTACTAAATTATTTTCTCTTAAATTCAAAGCTGGGTGACATCATTCCTCTTTCTGTACTTAAGATGTGATTTTTAAATTCCCAATTCATACTGCTGGACCCAAAAATAGATCCTCTATAATTGTTCTTTCTCCCACAGCATGTCTTTGGGAACTCATCATTGTTGTTTTGTCCTTTCATGTGTCAGCTTCCTTTGCACATTACATTTCACATGACTCACTGTTCCTTAGAGAAGGTTTGAGTGCTCAAAATGCCTGCTTATGTCTGACAGCTGGATTTGTCTTCCTGATATTTCTTATGTGAAGTAATGCCAGATCAATTTTCAAAAGGTTCAAGTTTTGCTTAATAAAAATATATAGGAAAGAGAGCGCAATGGGAGAAGATTCACTTACTAGGAAAGAACGGGATTTGGCCTGCCACTATCTGTGTGTACCAGTCACGCCTTCATGTGAACACTGAGAGAAATACTTTATATTTTTTCCAAGTCTCTTTTCAACTTATAAATTATAACATATATTTGAGAGTTTGAAGGAGATAAATTGGAAATAGCTTAAAATGAAAGGTCCAAGTTTAAAAGTACACTGTTTTCATTAGCCTAGTCTCATAGGACTTGCAGAGCATTGGAAAGATTTTTCTGTGAAAAGTCAATGGCTGCCTTTTTAGTTCTTTTTCTTTGTAAGAGTGCAGTTTAAGGTGTAAATTAACTTCAATTCCAGTAAGAAAGAGGTAGAAAAAAATAATCTTCATAGAGATTAAAAATGTAAATGAGAACTATGATTGCAGTTTGCCATCATATTAGTTTGAATTGTGTGTGTTTCCATTTTTACATAATAAAAGGAGTACAGAACAGAGACGTAGGGGAGGGAGCTCCCAGTCTTAGCTCATCTACCACTGCTGTAGAATATAAAGCATATCACAGAACCCTCCTGAACTCCTAATTTCTGTCTCTAAAATAAGAAGATTTTTCTACAAGATTTCTCAGGTCCTTTCCAACTCTGAGATTCTGAAACAGCTGCCTGCAACTCTCTGACCTAAAGATAAGAGTTAGAAATAAAACATCATCTGAAGTTCTTCGTAAACAACTATGTGATTTGTAATAGTTCAATTCCTCTAACTACAAGTTTTTTTCACGTGGTTTTATTTATGTAATCATTCAGCTGACTGAAACTTGACAGATGGGTAAGAAGTGGGACAGAAAAAATATAAGGGGAAATATCTCTGACTAGACAGAATTTTGGCAACAGAAGCATCTATTTCTCGTTATCAGTAAAGTTTAGTAATCTTGTGGAAAGTTCTTTCAGATTCCAAAATAGTAAATATATTAACTTATAAATTTCTAATCATTTAATAAGTTAATTTTTGCATTTAAATCTTAATCTAGCTGCAACTGAAGCAATATCTACTATATTATATAAACTCAATAAATATATTTATAAATTACATGAAATATTCCAGAAAAGTTATGTTTTTAGTGTTTTAAAATGTGCTTCATAAGTTAATTTTATAAATAATCATCTTATTATCTGTTTGAAATTTTATACCATACTGTCCTATTGCTTGTAGTTCAAATTAGGTATCCCCTGTGTATGAGAGACACAATTAATGACCTGTAGGCAATAAAGATTCAAAACATTCACTTTTGTAACAGAATGTTTACAAAATACCTATTCTCATTTTGCTATAGAATGAGCAGTGTTCCCAATTAAAGTAATTAAAATTCAACCAAATGAGGTCAGCATAATTTGCCATTTATGTTAGCTTACATGTATCACAGTACAATGAAGCAGGGCACTTGCTTAAATAAGTAAGTATGGGTAATGGTACTTGATCATGTGTCTTGAGGGTCTCATCTTCAGTGCCATGAAAGTCTACCAGTATTCCTTCATCATTAAAACGTTTCCATGTTATTATTCTTCCTGTAAAATGGTGGAAATCTTCATGAATATGCTTGCAATGTCCTTGTTAATTTGCCTTTAATCAGACTCTTCTTTAATGCATAAAGTTGTTCTACTTTGCATTGATCCCTGAAATAGCCCTGGTAAAAAATTCCACTCACACGGATAGTAGACTTCATTAAAGATTTATGCGATAGAAGATATGGGAAGATATGCACATACTACCAGTGCAAACAACGTTAAATCAAATAGTAGAAATGACCATTTTTACATGTCACTTATTTCTTCCAATAATCTATTCTGGTCTCTCTCTATCTTTTTTACTTCAGTCTGCCTTTACCCCATTCTTTCTTTTTGTCACTCATTTTTCCAGATTCCGTTTCAGGAGTAAAAGTAACACATTTTTCAAATCTGATTCATGGAGAGGAGACTTCTTCCCCTGATATCTGAACACCTGATAACTTGTATGACCAAGAGTCTTCTCTTCTCTAAGTAGATTTTTAACGTATTTTATCAGAAAGAACAGTTCCTCTCTAAAAGAGGAATTATGATGCCAGTGTTATAATTATTTAATATGTAAGTAGGTAAACATAAACTGTTATTGAAATTTAGTAGAAAGCATGTTATATGCAGTAACAATAATCCCTTCATGAAATTCTTTAGTTATCATCTATTCTTTTCAAATTTGTTTTACACTAAATTAGTATGAATGTCTTATTTATCTTTTTTTACTAAATTACCCAGGATAATGATTCTCAAATGTAACAACATTTTCATTTGTGGTAGAATTGAATTTCATCATTCACTATGTGTTACACTTTTCCCTAGACCAAGGATCTAAGAAATGAGTTATCCATACCCTTGCCACATAGGCAGAAACAGCCTGTTTTACAGAAATCAGTTTCCTGATCCTCAAACTATATTTGTTCTCCTTCCAAAAACTGATCCACCAGAGACAATTTTGATATTACAAGTTTCCAGCTAGTTATGTTTTTCCACTTCTCTTTTCACAATCTTCCTCTCCTCTTTTACCTGCCTCTCCCCCCGCCAAAAACACACAAGTGTTGTATCACCTGTTTTGAATCTTATTACAGAGCATTTTTGTAAGGTGTAACACTTTCCTAGGCCACAAACAAAGGGACAGGGATAGTGGATGTATAATGTTTGCCAAGCCTCCTTTCAAAAGGACATGTGTGCTTCCCTTTCTTCATCTCATTAAGGAATACAGGGCAAATAAAATTTTACTTGTGTTTAAGATGAATTATGAATCAAATTATATATCAAAATCTATAATAATGCATTTTGATCTTGAGTGTAAACTTTAAAACCAGACTGCCTGATTCAACTCTTGAATTAACCACTTTTTAAATACTTGGTGAAGTTAATAAACTGACTGCACTTCAGGTCCCTCCTAGTTAAAGCTGGATTAATCATAGTACCTACTGTACATGATTCTTATGTGATTGTAAAGTCTAGAAAATCAAACACTGCTTTTGAAAAGCATTACAATGTAATATAATATCAGTGAATCATTTATTATGTATCATTTGTGTTTCCAAACTTGGTGGTCACTCTATATAAACAGATAGCTACAAGTAGATGTAAAAATAGTTAATGCTTAGATTAGCGCTTGAAGCTTAGCAAGCCTTCCAAACGTGTTAGCTCCTATCATTATAAACATGATCATAATTGCCATTATTTTTGATAAACATTGTAGTGGTAATGCAATCTGGAAGAATTTTTCAAAAACATTCATTTGTTGCCATTTGGACAGGATTCTTTTAAAATAAAATTTTAATCTATGTGCAAATCTTGTTGCAAAAAAGTGTTAAAACAGAGTAAAGATTTTCACAAGAAAAGATTAGAAAAGATTTACATCACAGCTATGCACACATCTGAAAAAAAATAAAAAGACAGATATCATAATATCACAGATTTTAAAATGTTACCTGCTCATCTAATGATCTATTTTCATGTCACTTTATCTTCTTTCTGGCTCTGTACTACATTTATTTCTTTTTACTCTGTCACTCACAGTACCAACGAATAGCCAGATGATTTTTGACTTGTTGCGTTAAGGCATAGGTCCTGCTAATATAATTAACACTATATTACTGCTATTTCTACTAGTTAATAAAAACAAATGAAATAATATTTGCATTTGTTGATTTCGGTTAAACTGAGCAAATTTCTATGTAAAGTTTTTGAGAA